TCTGAAAGTTTTGCACTCTCAGCACAAACACGTTTGTTTCATCTACAATTTTTAAACACTTAGTAAGGACTTTGTTCATTACAGCTCCAAATAATATAAACTTACAACAATTTTATGGATGGTCTATCTCAATTCATCACTATAATGGACTTAGATTGTTATGACAAACAGTTTTCATATTAGAGAAAAAAAAAGTTCATATCACTGGTTTCTGCTAGAGATAGTTATTTACTATAAAAGGGGAAAAGTAGTAAATTTTAGCTCCAGGTTGTGGAGGTGTGAGGTAATTTTTTTTCTGTGACAGGAAAAAGGACTAATCAATATTGAGAAGATACATTATATTAAAATCAGAACAACATTATAGAGGTGAAATTTCAAGTATTTAATAGGGATGACAGGCAGGCATCTTTATCATTCTTTTGAAGTAATCAAACATCTGTCAGTCTAATTCTGTCATTTTATTTGAAAAAAATTTAAAGAAGTAATTGTTTAGTAATTTACTTAACCATGAAGTCAAATGATGAAAGGACTTTCAGTACTTTGCGGGAGACTGTCTTATTGGCTTATTTTTCGGAATTCTTATAAGAAAATCATGTGATACATGTTTATATTGTTGAAGCACAACAAACGCCATCAACAGTGTATAATATATAAGTATAAAAAAATTTATTTATGTGTGCTCATGGTGTTTATATTGTGCTCTTTGATGATTTATTCTGATACAGAATGGGGAGATGACACTAGATTAATTTATTTATGCATATAATGACCTGAAATAAATATCAACTAACAAGGATCACAATGTGAGGAACTAGTTCCTCAAAGCATTAAACAGTTAATCCAAAACACTTCATAACTCTAGCTTATGATACAACCTATAAGAGTGGAAAAAGTAAACTTTTGGTCAAAGACCTAAATCTTTGAATTGTTGAACTCATGATAGTTGTGAAGTATTCAAGTGATAGTCAAATAGAATTGGAGTTGATTTAAAAATTAAAAGACATTGCAAAATAACTTTTCCCTTTTGTACCTATAATAAAAAGACAAAAAACATAAAATATTCATGTTAATTAAATCAAACTTATTTACCTTCTGAGCCAAATTCAAGTACTAGTTTTAGGTCAAATCAACCAAAAGGACACTGTTTTTGTTTTGCTTCTACAGATCTATTAGAATAGATGTATTTTCATAAATGTACCTTCACTATTGCTGAATAAATTATATATAAATTATATAAAATTATATAAATTATATTTCCATGTTAAAATTTCATTGATTTTGCAGATGAGTAGCATCCTCCTTCAGAAATATCTTGCTATTTGAATAAATCCCATGTAAATAGTATAAAAATAGATGGGAATACTAAAAAAGATTCTATATATGACTTTGAGAAAGGTGATTTCACTGATTTTCACAAACTTTATCACCTATTAAGTAGATGTGATTGGGGAAATATCACTGTTTCAGGGTACTCAGATGAAATTGTTGATTTATTTAATGAAAAACTATTTGGTACATTTGATGAATGTCTTCCTAAAAGGAAACTGAGGTCCAGTAATGAATTTCCTGCATGGTATGACGCAGATTTCAAAAAGATCATTCAAAAGAAGGAAATATACTTCAAAAAATCAAAACAGGCTTCTCCAAGACAAAATGAATATCAAGAAAAATTCTGTGAATTAAGGAGAAAAGTGAAGATACTCACAATCCAATGCAAACAGAAATATTTGCAGACAATAGAAAATGATATTAATTCAAATTCTAGAGTTCTGGACTGAATATAAATATCATAATCCAATGCAAACAGGAAAAGAAAATTATATTATTTCATATTCCAATTCCTTAGAGTTCTGGACTGAATATAAATATCATTATCCAATGCAAACAGGAACAGAAAATGATATTAGTTCAAATTGTTCAAATTCTCAAGAGTTCTGGACTGAATATAAATATCATAATCCAATGCAAACATGACCAGAAAATGATATTAGTTCAAATTCTTAAGAGTTCTGGATGGAATATAAATATCATAATACAATGCAAACAAGAACATTTGCAGACAATAGAAAATGATATTAGTTCAAATTCTAAAGAGTTCTGGACTGGATATAAATAACAAAAAATAAAATAAAAATTACAACAAATTCTCAAATAAATTCAAATAAGGTGTGTCATGAAATTATTATTAATGAACATGATATATCAAATGCTCTTGCTGAATTTTTTCAATCTGTATACAATGATAATCCTCCAAAAAACACTGATTACACTTGTGAGATTGATCTAGAAAATCTCATCATATCTAAGATCACTGAATGAGGAGTTTGTATAGCAATAAGATCATTAAAACCAAAAGCATCAACAGGAACTTATGGCATACCACCTTATTTTTTCAAAGGTTACATGGACATCATGAAAAAGCCATTGTCATAATTTTCAATTCAGTATTCCAGAGTCCAAAAATTAAAATTGGTGGAATAATTCCAGTACATGAATCTGGCAACCATAGGGTAATATCAAATTATAGACCAGTTAGTTACTGTACTCCCAGCACTCTCCAAAATCCTTGAGAGAGTACTGTACAATAGAATTAATGCACATGTTGAAGGTATTATAATATGTAGAGAACAACATGGATTTGTGGGTAAAAAATCAATTGAGGAACTTATCGATCTTTAGCAATGATTTAGAACTTGCAATCAATGCTGGAAAATAGGTAGACATAATCTACAGACCTCACCAAAGTAATGAGGTAAACCAGGGAACTTTAATCTCCAAGTTGAAAAAAAAATTATTTGAAAGAAGAATTATTATTATTAATGAAATCATATCTATCAACTAGGGACCAATTTGTCTCATTCAATGAAAAGGAGTCTGCAGTTTTCAGACCTACTTCAGGCATGCCACAAGGCTCTATATTAGGCCCATTATTATTTGTGATGTTTATTAATGATATAGGTAAGCATATAAAATATTTGACTTAATACTGTACCAAACCCAAAGAATTAGATGTGGATCTTCAGAATGACTTTGATTCAGATAACTTTTTCTGTGAAATCAATGACTTGAGACTGAATTAGGGAAAAATTATTTCTGACATAAAAAGTGGCAACAGAGTATACTATTCATGAAACTAAGTTAGACAAGCTTGAAGAAATTAAAGATCTAGGAGTAATATTCAGTAAGAATTTTAGCTTTGGAAACCACATAAATTACATTGTTAAAGATACAAACTGTAAGTTGAGCTTTGTACTAAGAAACTCCAGTGATTCCAAATGGGAAATAGATATCCTCCTGTTCAATGCATTTGTTAGATCAAAATTAGAGTATGCATCAGCAATATGGAACCATCAAACAGTACTCCACTTGGAAATGTTAGAAATGTTCCTGAACTCCTATCTGAGATCAACATTTATGTTCCCAATATCAGTCTTCGAAATTGAAATCATATTTCCAAGATAGAAACCTACTCAGATTCCCCAATCAACCATTGTCTAAAACATGTGAATAAAGAGACAATGCAGCTTTGACATTTTTAACTACAAGCAGATAGAAATGAGTCAATTATTAGTGTGATAAATATACTTAGGTGATTATGTACTCTCTGTGATTATGTATTCCAGTGCAAAACCATATTTGGTTAAACACTGTATTTATTAATACTTATGTCTTGTATCCTATATTCTATATATTTGGACATTGTGTTTAATTTCTCATATCCAGTGAGATATATTTCTACAATGGCTACAAGTTATTGGGTTTCTGACCTGTTTATTATACAGTCTAAATAAAATTATATCTATAGCATTCATCAATATTCAATATTCATCTCTTCAATGCAATAAGTATTGAGTAGTTCAAGATCCAGTTGCAATAGTTGACAAATTATTCATCATTTATTTTCAATTTCTCTGTAGATTTTCATTTAGTCAGTGAAGAAAGTTGAGGTCCAAAATGGAGCCTTCTAATAGGTGGGTTTTTGGTATGCCCATCTTAACTTAATTGTTGACAATGTCATGTCAACTTCCTTATTTCAAATGGAACACCTTGTCTGTAGTCTAATGAATGCTGATTCAATTCAATATTTCAAATCTTTTCATGCTTTCATTGGTCACTTCAATATTCAAGTTGGGATGTTCATAAGCTAAACCCTATCCTTTACCAACTATTTATTTAAGGAATATTTCATTTAGTAATCCTCATACTTATCATGAAAGCTAGATGTTTTGAACCAATACACTGTCCATATTTTATCAAAAGCTGATATTGGTACTGGGAATATCATTTCAACTTTTGTTTTGGAAGTTAGTACAATTAGCTAATTTTCTAGTGAAATTTTCAAACACTTTGGGTAAAATGTTGAATTGAAAATTGTGATTGCATGAAATGATATGAGGTGGAACAGCCATTCAATACCTATAATTATGATCACATATTAAGAAGATTCAAAGCCTGCAATGTTTTGATGCTTTACATAAAATGTTACAAAGCAATTAACTGAGTAAAGAGTACCTTAAACATCTCATTCACTCTCTTTAAAGAGTGTGGACATGCTTGTCCCCAGTGACATTTCCAAATTGTCATTTTCAGATTTGAAATGTCAGTTGTGAAAATTAAATAGGGGACCTTGTGAAAAAAAATTTCCAAATATATCTAATGATGGATTAGTTCAAAAACATATTGCAAAACTTCTAAAACTGATGGTTTACATTTATTTGAGTTGCTCAAAGACAAGACAATATTTCAAGTGTTTCTTGAAACTTCAAATTCCAATATAATGAGCCTTTGGTGTTATGCCAATGTTAGGGTTTCAAATAATAAGTCTGCTGTCCTTCAATGGAGGAGTACAGAAAAATGGCATTCCATAGCTTATAAAACATATTTGTGTCTAATGTTTATTGTTCAGCTGTTCAACAAGATGAAGAGTGTGTCTACACACTTTAAAGAGCATAAAATGATATGTTTCAGGCACTCTGAGTAGAAAGAACAAGCATTCTTACCGCCTCCGCCACGGCCCCTCCCCTCGCCGCGGCCACCACCACGGCCTCCTCGGCCGCCTCTACCACGGTTATTACTCCTGAAGTTGTCAGAAGACTGATCATCATTGTTCCATCCACCGCCGCCGCCGCCGCTTCCTCCAAACCCAGTATCACCAGAGTTACTTGTTCCCCAATCATCATCATTGGATTCGACAGCCTTGAAACCTCTACCGGAAGAGAATTTCTTCCCGCCTTCTGCTCTTACACCAATGCTCTGCTAAAGAAAAAACTATGAAACAAACAGATATTTCAATGATTGATGATTTACTTACTGTTGGTGCTGCAGCACCATCATCCCAATCGTCCATGTTTGAAGTATGTCCGGATAAAAAATATATCAAGTATAGAAAAAAGCTTGCTCAACAAACACGTGTATCCTTCAGTAAACCTTGTCCACTTCCAAATCCTAAGTATCTAAGTAATGCCTTTTTACTTTTTGGTCATCTATTCAACACTTAGTAATATGTGAGATTATTTTACTTGAATGATAATGGACGTCGTTAACCATGAAATGCCCAATTATTATTTGTTGAAACGGGCATCTATAACCGGCAACAAACAAACAGGACAAAAGGGACGACTGCAGAGTGGAGACCGAACTTGCTCCACACTCCACAGAATGAGCAGTAGAATGACAATGACAGAAACAGGAAGAAGCGCGTTTTTGGTATTTGCCGCTTCTTCACAACAGAGAAACAAGCGTCTCAAGAATTCAAACAACCATGACTTTCGGTACAGAGGCTTTTTCAGATCAATCAGAGCGATTATAGCTAGAGTCACTGGAATTTGTATCATTTCTTTACATTGTTATTGCTCAAGGTAAAGTCATGCTTGTACGAATCTCGCAAAATTTTCGCGAATCGCAAAATATGAAATTCCTAACAGAATTTGACGTACATATAGGGTGCGTTTTTCATTTCAACATTTTATCATGCGCATGAATCGAAGAAACCATCAAACTGTTGCAAAATTCCGCTGGAATGTTGATGGACATCCATCAAACTGTTGTAATAAAATGCGCACTTTTAAATCGCTTTTCGAGAATCCAGCAGTTTGGAGGAGATTGTCATGACAGTTGACACATTTTAGTGTTGTTTTTTTGTTTTGATTTGATAGAAAACAATTAATATTGAGGATTTTTGAGCTTCTCGAGAGATTTTAGAAGAAAGAGTCAGTGTTAATCAATAAAATCTAATTAGCCTCTTCTGATTCTCGAGATACATGATGACTGACACACAACAAAATCCGTGTTTCCATCAATGTGTTGTATAAACCATTGTTCAATCCTTCCAGCATAAATTCCAACAGAACAATTGGTGACGTCACGACAAAAAACCGCATCTATCAGTGCGCACCTTCTTCGATGGAATGAAAAACACGCCCGATATATGGGGGTAACGAACCACAGAACATCAATATTCAATGGTGCCGGCCTTGCCGGCAGTGATAAGCGACTACTATCCTTAGCACTCTAAAGTTGCTAGAGCAGTAGAGCACCATCCAACATCATTAGAGGCCTGTTTTTTGTATTGCTCTAAACTTGCCCATAGCTGTCTCTGTTATGGCATGATATAAACAATATGTAAACAGAGATAGCTATGAAAAAAATCAAGTTCAGCAGATAGAGCAAGCACAAATAAACAGGCCTTAGATTTTCACAATCTATCACCTTGTTGATGTTGGTGTAAGCTGTAGCGGCATTTCAACAAAAATGGGACCAAAATGAGAGGTACTTTTTGAATCTATGAGTACGGAAAGTGAAGGATGGTAACAGCCATATTGGTTTGGTTTGACAAGTTTCGTATTATTTTGTCCATACGTCGGCATCAACGCCTATTGGTCGATTTCCTTACCTATAGAGATAGAAGTTGGTCTTACTTTGAGGACAGCTATGCTTCATGTATGAGTAGTAGATATATGCATAAATGTAACGAACAGGCCTAATTGGCTCATACGTGCCTACGGTACAAGTGAATTATTATTTACTAGTGTCCGCTTTGGCAACAATGTCTGCTATCAAGCATGCGCACAAATTTTTCAGTGCAAATACCTGCGCACTGTCAAAAAATGTGTCTTCTGTCTCTGACTGCAATCTGTTCACTCTGTTCTCTGCTGACTTGATCCTTGATCCGATACACCGTGGGTTCTCATCTTGGTTTTGACTTTGGGTTTGGGCGACTGGTACAAAAATGTCTGTTCTTTCTGCCCGTTTAGCTGCTACTGTTGCAAGAAATATTCCAAGAAATGTTGCCCAGGTATTTACTCATTATTTAAAGCCGAATTTTATTTCTTACTACCTCCCAGATAAGTAGTCATTCACCGACATTATTCATGACATAATCAGTTTTTTTTAAAGACCACTTTATTTAGAATCGATTGCTTTTACATTCGTCTAGGAAGATGTTAACTGAAAAATAATGTTGAATTCATATGGTTTTTAAGTTTTTAGTACAATGATGACTGTTTCAAGGAATAAGTAGAATTATGTTACATAACACATGTGGAGCATATGAGATTTTTCACTTTGCTTTTATTGGGCTTCTTCAAATTCCCAAATTTAATTCGAGGATGTATATCAGGTTACAGGTGCAGCATTCCCTGTTGCTTCAGTTGCAGCACGTAAAATCCATGTTTCTGCACAAAACAGGGGTGCAGAAATTTCCTCCATCCTTGAGGAACGAATCCTAGGAACAGCACCCAAAGCTGATCTTGATGAAACTGGTCGTGTATTGAGCATTGGTGATGGTATTGCCCGTGTCTATGGGTTGAAGAACATCCAAGCTGATGAGATGGTGGAATTTTCATCTGGTCTCAAGGTAGTCAAAATCCATTCAATGACAATTTCTTTGAAGACTCTTTCCTTTCATTATTTCATTTGTTAATAGGGTATGGCTCTTAACTTGGAGCCTGACAATGTTGGTGTTGTAGTATTTGGTAATGACAAACTAATCAAGGAAGGAGATATTGTCAAAAGAACTGGTGCCATTGTAGATGTTCCTGTTGGTGAACAAATCTTAGGACGTGTAGTTGATGCTTTGGGTAAGTCTTTACTTTCCATTCTCTGAGTTTTATAGTGAATATAGCTCTGGATTTTGGACCTACCATTGTGTGATGAAATCAACTATAAGGAATAACACTAGTTGGTTCCTTGAATCATTATATAGGGTGTCCCTAAAAGGTCTTTATAAGAAAATACCACATATTCCTCAGACCAAAACAATTCCATACAAGGAAATTTACTGCAGTACGAAGTTGCTTAGTTTGGGCACTAGATGGCTCTGAAGTTACAATTTTCTAATTGTTTCTCCTTCATAAATTTGTATGGACTTATCAGATTTTACTCAAATTTGGTACATTGGCATAGCTATTGAGCAATAAAACCCATATGATGATGATAAAAACCATTCCATTGGCCTAGAACCCGATTTTTTTCTGTGAATAAACATCTAAAACAATGGAGAGAAGGGTTTGAATATCAAATTTGGATTGTGTTCTTGTTTTCTACAACAAAGGTAAACTTCTTAAAATTTCATTACTCTCATGGTTTCAACAGGATCTGAAATTTAGTAAAAAGCATCAGTTAGCATTGAGATGATCAACAGATATGTCCTGAAAATTATCTGGGCACTAGATGGCTCTGGCTTACTCAGTACAAAAAAATAGCTCATAGTACATTCCAATTTTTTTCCAATAAATCTTTGTAATGTGAAAATGATGAAAATGTTCTGCAATTTTCAAGTAATATCTCTCAATCCTTCTAGTGTTGACTGATGCTTTGAATTACTAAAATTCAAAATCTGTTGAAACCATGAGAATTTTCTTATTTTAATAAGAGTAACTTTTTTGTAGTAAACCAGTTACACAATCCGAATTTCATATTCAATGGAATGGTAATATGCTTAGGTGTATCTGATTAGAAATTTGAAAATAACATCTGTGGATATTCTCATGACAGCCCACTTAGCATACTTCCATTGAAATATGATATACGCTTTTTTAAGCTGGGGTCACTCATGCCACTGCAGTCTTTGGAGTTCAAAGATGCTGTGTGAGGAGTGTCTTACTGTTGTAAGACAAAATTCAAAGCATTAGGTGTACTCTCCTTGTGCCTATATTCTCAAATGTGTTATCTTTTGAAAAAAATTTGGATGCATATAGTACAGCTGGAGGTTTATACGGCTATGACACAGGTAACAGAGGTAAATTGTTACCAAAATAGCATCACCTTGAAAAGACCAGAGATGGTAAAGTTTATGCAAAGTCAGTTGAACAGATCATCAAATAAATGTCAGGCTGTGCTGCTGCACTCTTTGAACTTTCAGAGGGAATGTGAGAGAGAGTGATCTGTTTTTCCAACTGACTCTGCATAAACTATACTAGTGGCTCCTAAATTTACAATTTACTCCCTAATGAAATTAAATTTGTTTTATCAAAATTTTCAAGAATTATCTTTCAACAAAAACATTTTACTATATTGGTGAATATCTCACATAATTTCTTAGATCAGGTATTGTAGAAATAATACTGATCAAGTGAACAAGACCTAGGATAATTTAACTTATTTTAACATGATTTTGAAAGTATATATTTGTATATTGTCCAGCTACATGTATAAGTGTATTGACCTTTTACTGACTTGTGTAAGTACTTGAATGTATATTGTATGTAAATCTATCTATATTTATCATTATTATGATATGAAATGCCCAATAAAGCTATGACAACTTACCAAATTTGAGTGAAATCTGGTGATCTGCTTCTAGAACAAAGGAACTTTGTACTGAGGTAACTTTGCTTAAGTGTGATGAATATGTGGTAAGCTTCTGTAATGACCTTTTAGGGATAACCTGTATAAGATTTTTTTTCCTCAAGCTAGCCATCTTTTCCACTGGAAATGATAAGAGATATCTTTCTTATAACTCAAGGCTCATTTCATGTGCCACCATGATCCTGTGAAGTGAAAATGTTTACTGACTTTCAATGATTATTTGCATGTATCAGAAATAAAATTGTCTCTATGTTTGCTTCATAATAAGTTTGAGAGAAAGATAGAATATGCTTTATTCTCTAAAGATGTAAAATCTTATTGACAAACTAAGTCAAAAAAATAACCATAAAATAAAAAACATAACTAGAACTAGAGGAAATCACTACTAACACCAGAAAGTTTGAAATTTAAAAACTCTCATAAGCTAGTTCATAAGGGAACATTACAACATATTGAAATATTCCTATTGAAAATGATTTTATAGTTGAAATGTGTAATGTCCTCTACAGACTTCATGAATTGATACTTGAATCTCGGATTGAAATAATACAAGTTATATGCTGACAACTGATTATTATCAAGTATATAATTGAAGTGCTACATAAATGTAAAACTTCCTGAAATCCACAAGAAATAGTGCAGGAGATTCATGCACTGGCAGGCACAATAAAATGCACACTAGCCTACCAAATACACTACAAAATGTATCATTAAAATACCCTTGTAAACTAAAATAGGGTTTATCCAAAAAGAGTGTTTTTATTCTTTGTTTGAATTTTTTATTGGATCCAATTTCTTTGATATCTTTTGGCGAATGATTGAACATCTTACAGCCTACATAAATTATTGAATCTCTAACTTAATGTTACCAGCTTGCCGGGTGGCACGGTGTGCAGAGGTAGTGTCAAATGTTCCTAGATGTTTTTTAAATAAGCATACCGTTTCCATGACAAAGATCCCATAAACTGTTGAAATTTTGTGTTTGAAGAAAAGGGGTTTGCAGGGGTCACGAATTTTTGCTTTGCACATATATCTAACTGTGAGATTTCGCAATATAAAACTGAGTCTATGAGATGATCAAGACAGACCGCCCAGAATGGAAATCCATACCTTGAATGAGATTCAACTAAAAAGTGGTGAACAACCTTAGAAGAAGAAAATCTTAATTCATTTGATGTGACTCTCGCCGCATAACATCCAGAAAACAATGTTTTGTTCAAAAGTTTAACATGTTCATCAAATTTCAATCTGAGATCTACTTTCAAGTCAAAATTGTCCTCGACTTTGTGCCAAAACAGAATTAACTTCAGTTAAAAATGATATAACCTTGTGATGTCTTGTCTTATTGAATCCTCTGGAATTTGATGTTTACCACTTTTCACCATTACAAAAGTAAAATACCTTCTTGGTTTCCAATAGATGTTTGATAAAACATAATTAAAAATTAAATACCTTATCATTACTTATTAAAATTTAGATATTTTGAACTCGCTTATAGATTGAAGAATAATTATGTCGGTTGATTGGTTGGTCTCAAGTATGTGCCCTGATATACAGGGTGTATCATTAGGAATTGGAAATATTTCAACTATAAATCCCATATGAAGATTTAACCCAAATCACCTAGGTGAAATGTGTCTCCTGTCTGGGATACAGGGTGTTTTATTTAAATATTCAAAAATTATTTGTGCCTAGTTCTAGTAATTTGTAGGACAATGTGGATACTATACACCCTACCTTTCTGGCTACTGCCAGAATCGTACGACGGGCAATTGACTGGCTGATCCTTCCCAAATTCTACGCCACCGGCGAAATTGCCATTTTATCATAATTATTCAATTCTCCTTTCTACCTAAATATCATAATCTTTCTTCATAGCGATAAAGTCTTTATTTTTCGAGATATTTCAAGTTGAACATGAAGCTGAACAATTATTTTGATTTTGATGTGTATTAATTATGTCAATATTTTGGATCAATGGATTGCATTTATTAATCAAATGAACGCATAATATCATAACCATAGACCTATTATGGTCTATGAACATAACAGACTGGAGTTGTTACAGGGTGTTTTGAATTTTTGAATCTAATAAATCTATCCGACGCCCAAGAGGGTAAAAGGAAGGATGGAAAGAAAAGAATACAATAAAATATTGAAACACCCTGTAACAGCTCCTGTCCGTTATATTGTTTTTATTGTTAATATGGATTGAAAATTCATTATGATTAGTGAATGCAATATCAATATAATAAATACATCAAAGTCATAATAATTGTGCAGCTTCATGTTCAACTTGAAATAACTCGAAAAATAATTACTTCGTCGCTATGAAGAGAGTGTACGATATTGACATAGGAAGTATAAGAGAATCGAAAAATTGTGATAAAAAGGCAATTTCGCCAGTGGCGTAGAATTTGGGAAGGATCAACCAGTCGCTTGCCCCGGTCGTACGCCTCTGGTAGTAGCCAGAAACGTTTATTTTACATAATTCAATAGGGTATATAGTATCTACACTTTCCGCCAAATATGACAATGATACGTCAATAAGTTTCAAGGTACTAGGCACAAATAATTTTTGATTTTCCAAATAAAACACCCTGTAACTCAGACAGGAGACACATTTTATTTAGGTGATTTGGGTTAATTAAATCTTCATATAGTTGAAATATTTCCAATTCTTAACGATGCACCCTGTGTAGACGTCATTATATGGATCGTGTGACCACCGAGGTCACAGTCATTTTACCAGGAATTCAAATTGATTGTAGGATATATTTATTAATAAAAAAAATCGACTCAAAACATTTCCATGCCATCGTCATCCCATATCCGATTGAATGATTATAAAATGTTCCTATTGGTCCGATATTCGACGTCAGACAGCCTTGTTGTCAGTGGATTTTCACGATTATTATAACGTTATATAATAATGAAGATAATAATAAATCGTCTTTATTCATCATTTTCAGAAAAAAAAAATGCACAAAAAAATCATACAAAAATAGTCTGCCAAACCTTATACCTATCTGCAATGGTGAATAGGCGGAATATATGTTTTTCAACTCAACCCCAAAAATAAATAAGAACGAGTTGATATACAAAAATATAAGATGCGTTATTTCTCGAAGAAACACCTATATATTATAAGTATACAATAGAAAGAAATAAATAAAAAATTCAAATACGAAATTGCATAATATTGAGAATTGAATAAACAAAGGATTGTCAGGAAAGCATTGCTAGATTTTTGATTGTAAAAGGATGTACC